TTTTTTTTTTTTTTCACTCTTGTTTCAACACCATTCATTGATGGACTGGGGCCACGCTCCACAGGGCCCAGTCAGTGGGAAAAGGGTCTCCTGACCAACTGTCTCCACGCGGGGAGACAAGTGCTGTCCCAGCGCTATCAGTCGGGCGCTGCGCCAGATCAGAGAGCCAGTCTAAATTCGTCTCCCAGCCCCCTCACTCACTTCCCCCACCCCCATGCTGGCTGAGAGAGGGCTGGATGGGGTGGCCGTTATGAGGATCCTGAGAGGTGAGACCCTTTCTGGGTCTGTGGGAAAGGGGGTTCAAATTTAGACCTCAGAGCTTGCAAATATTCCCATCTAAAGGCAGAAGCCTCCCCTGTAAGCTGAGCACATGTGGATGTCAATCCTGCAGCCCCTCTTCCAGGCCCCCTCCTCAGCCCTGCAGAGCTCAGGTTACCCATGGCCTTTCCTAAAGGGCACTCCTTCCTCTTCAACCTTTGCAAATGGGAACTATAATCCTGGGAAGGGGGAAGAGACCCCAATCTGAAACCCCTCCCCAAGGGTAGAATTAAAAGTGGAGACTTATGGAGAACAGAAAAGGGGGGGTGTTAGTCATTGACCTTTGGTGAGGGGGCAGGTGCCTGGGTCTGGAGACTTTGTAGTGGGCACTTGGCTGCCAGCCTGGCGTGGGGGGGCGGGGGATTGGATAGAGAGAGAGAGGCGGGGCTCTCTGAGGACAGGGTGGCTAGGAGATAAATGCCCAGCCTGAGAAGGGGTGAAGCTGACACTGTCCCAGCTGCTATCTAAACTCGGAGCTTCATCCAAGCCCTCAGCAGAAAACATCTCAGGTCTGGTGAATCTTCTAGGCCTCTGGGGTGGAGGTGGTAAAGGGTGTGCAGGGTGCTGGCTTGGAGAAGGAAGGGAAGATTTCAACTGTTTTCCTCCTGGGTCTGGCAGCACTTGAAAACTGGCTGGGCTGGAGCAAGAAGGATAGGGCAAGGTGTGGGTGCATCCAAGGATCTTGGGAAAGGAGACTATGAGGAGAGGCAGCAGGCATGAATAGAGAAGGGCAGGTAGTGAACTGGGGGACCACGAGGATTTGGGAGCAAAACAAAATGAGAACTTGAAAGGATTTGAGGGCTAGGAGGCCATGGAGAACAGATTGCTTGACCAGAAGAGTGGAAGGAGAAAGCACAAGTGCAGCTTTGGGGAGGTGGGGGCTCAGGGAGTCATAAAGGAGAGGCCCCTGGATTCTTAGGAAAGGAGGGTGGAATAGGAGCTGTTCTGAGTGGGGGAAGGAGGCTGTGTCTGCCTCTTTGGTCTGTGACCTTTTTGTGGGGGTATTTTTAGATCCAGCACCTGCCTTCTTGGAGTGGGGAAGACTCTTAAAGGGCAAGGGATTTCTGGTTCCTTAAGGGATCAACTGTCCACACTCACTTACACTTCTTGTCCTACAGCCATGGCCATGCAGAAAATCTTTGCCCGAGAAATCCTGGACTCCAGGGGCAACCCCACTGTGGAGGTGGATCTGTACACAGCTAAGGGTAACACAGGCCCATTGAATTAGTTTGCCTCAAAAGACCCCAACCCCATCTGTCCTCCCCACCAATTCTGTCCCACATCTTCTCCTTTCTCTGGAGTTCCCTTCCTCAGACTTCTTCCCAGGTCAGTGTGGCTCAGAACTGGGAGCTGAGAAAAGCAAGAGTCTCTCTGTGCTCAGAAGTGGCACCTCAGCCATTTGAGGCTGTTGAGGGTGACTCTGTGATCTTCCCATTATTCCCACCCCAGGCCGATTCCGAGCAGCTGTGCCCAGTGGGGCTTCCACAGGTATCTATGAAGCTCTGGAACTAAGAGATGGAGACAAATCTCGCTACCTGGGGAAAGGTGAGGAGGCCAACAGAGAAGGAACCTGAACTGGTCATTTTAGGCTGTGGGCACAGAGGGGGAGAGGACTGCTACCCAAAGCTTCTTGAGGAGCTGGGATCCACAAGAAGAGTCCTAATTATTGATTCTGGCCTCTCTAGGAGTCCTAAAGGCTGTGGAACACATCAACAAGACTCTAGGCCCTGCTCTGCTGGAAAAGGCAAGTGGAGGAGCCTGCTCTCCTACCTCTTCTCCATACCCCAGAGAACCCCCCAAAATATTTTCACTTACCTTTCCTGCAACACATGCCCTGATTTCTGAGATATCTGACCTCTGCTCTGTCCTCCTCAAACCTGCCCTTCCAGAAACTAAGTGTTGTGGATCAAGAAAAAATTGACAAATTTATGATTGAGCTGGATGGAACTGAGAATAAGTGTAAGTTAAGGGCCAGAGGTGGGGAAGTGATGAGGTGTGGGAGAGGTGGAGAGAGACCACGGGGGCTGAGGTATGGCTGGTTTATTTCTGTGTCCACATTTTGGGGCACACTGTAGCTGGATTTTATTCATTCCACAGGCATTTCCTATGTCTGCTATTTGCCAGCCCTGGGCCTGGCTCTGGATATAGCTGGCAGCTGACACATTCCTCTGGGGTGGGAGTGCTCCTCAGACAGCTGGGTGACCAGGGGGAATGGTCAAGGAGATGGAACTGCAAACCATGCAGGAGAAGCTCTCACCCTTTCTTCCTAATTGCCTACTTCCAGCCAAGTTCGGGGCCAATGCCATCCTGGGAGTGTCCTTGGCCGTGTGTAAGGCAGGAGCAGCTGAGAAGGGGGTCCCGCTCTACCGACACATCGCAGATCTCGCAGGGAACCCAGACCTCATACTCCCAGTGCCTGTGAGTGCAGTTGCCACTGCCAGATCTCACCTCTACCCGGCTGCCTTGCCCAGCCGTGGAGTGCTTAAGCAGCCCCTTAGAAATCCACCTTTCAGACCCAGCTCTGAAGAGGCAGTTTCCTGAAATCCAATCTCTTCTGCTGTGGTCTAGCCCCTCCCTCTTTCCCACAATCCAAACCTTTCCTTAAGCCTCTCTGTGCTTCCTTCCCTTGCTACATAACCAGGTTCCTTCACATTCCAATCCTAGGCTCAATAACTCCAATCTCATTCTGCCACTGCACCCCACCCCCCAAATCAGATCGAGAATGTCTTCATGGCAGGGATCTTGGCATTTCCTTGTATCTTCTTAAGTCCCTATTAAACCAGTATTCTCTTAGTGGAAACTCTT